TTTCTTTCTCCTTCTCTTTCCTTCCTTCCTTTTTTCTCTTTCTTTTTCTTTCTTTCTTTTTCCTTCCTTCCTTTCTCTTCCTTGCTAGCTTCCTTCCTTCCTTCCTTCTCCCTCTCCCTTCCTTGCAGCGAGGGCTTTCGAATGCCGCCTCTCCTTCCGAGGAACCCAAAGACCCCCCCGAGCCCGGCGACTCTCCCCAACTTTGCAGCGCGCGGGACGAGGCCCGCCTCGCGAAACGAAGGCGCGGGATTCCCGGGCACCCCGAGACACACACACACACACACACACGCAGACCGGCCCCTCCTCCCTCTCCCACCCCCACCCCCACCCTCCCCACACGGGAGCTGCTCTTGCCCGCGGCGCTCACCTGGCGTTGGTGCAGTCGTTGTAGAGCGTCTCGAAGTCCCTCCTGGAGATGAGTTTGCACCGGTTGACGCCGGGCTGGATGGCCCCCAAGCCGCGCAGGATGCGCACCTGCTCCACGTTGCAGACCACCGGCGTGATCTCCAGGCGCTTGAGCTTGGTGTAGACCGTGTGCAAGCCGCCCACCAGGTGCTTGAGGAAGAGGTCGAAGGCCTGAGGCAGGCAGATCAGCTCGCAGCCCTCCACCGAGAACGAGGCCAACTGGGCGCCGCGCAGCTCCACCATCTTGCACTCGTTGTTCTGCGGCGTGTTCTCCACCGGCGAAGGCGTCGAGTACACCGGTTTGCCCGAAGGCGTCGGGGGGACGCCGCCTGCCGCGCCCGGACACGGCACGGGAACCGGAGCCGGAGCCGGAGGCGAATTGCCCTCCGCACCTCCTGAAGCCGATGCCGCCGCCGCAGCGGCAGCGGCAGCGGCAGCCGCGCCGGGCTCCGGGCGGAAGAGGCCGGGGACGGTGGTGGGGGCGGCGGCGGGGGCGGCCGGAGCGGTCGGGGCGGGCGGCGGGGAGGGGGCGGCTGCCGGGGGCGCGGGGGGCGGCGGCAGAGGGGGCGCCGGCTGCGCGGCGGGGATGAGCGGCGCCGGCATCGCCATGGTCACATCAGAGGAGCCGGGTTAAGGCGAGGGGCGCTCCGGGCGCTGCCCCGCCGCGGTCCGCGCCAACTTGAGCCGAGCACCGGCTGCTGCTGTTGGTGGTGCTGCTGCTGCTGCTGCCGCCTGGCGGGACGCGCTCCGCGCTCTGCGGCTCCGGCGGCTGCTGCTGCGGCTCCGGTCCACCCTCTCGCCGCGCCCCGCGCGCTCTGCCCGCCCGCCCGGCTCTCCCTCCGGCCGCGGCGCGCGTTGCTGTTGTTGTCACTCGGTGCAAGAGCGACGGGGGCGGAGCTCCGCAACTTGCGAAGCCCCTTCAAGCCCAGCCGGAGTCTCTCTTCCTCCTCCTCCCCCCACACCCACCCACCCACCCTCCGCCCGGCTCGGGGCGCTTGCGGAGGCCAATCTGGAGGTGGGGTGAGGGTGGAGCGGGAGGGTCTCTGGCGGGGCCGCTTCGCCCAGCCAGCCCCGT